TTTTCTTTTTTTTTTTTTTTTTTTTTGCAGTACTTGGAAATAAGATTCAATCGCGGCGTAAGGATTCTCATATCGTTGATCTTTATAATTGACGTGGTAAGTGCATATATCTATGCTGTAAGGCAGTGTCGATAAATTTAAAATTTTAAATTAAGAAATTAAAAATTTTAAATTACGAAGAGAAATAAGAAAATTTGAAAGAAATGACTTCATCATTGATTTTAATTTGATGATTGAAATTTATTTGTAACAAAATTACGTCATATTACATTGCGAAAACACGAAACTTTAATTTGCTTCTCTTTGAGAATGGCCAATGGTCGATAGCGATGTTGCATTAATAATATCGTAATAAACCAATTTTAGGTCCTTTACCAATCGATCGTGGTCTACGTTCCAGCATTAGCGCTAAATCAAGGTATTATGTGCCGATATTATTTATAATAGAATATTAACCGAATACTACTAAAATCTTCCTGATTAATTACAGTGAGCGGTATCGATGTACATTTGATCGGGACCATTGTATGTCTCATATGCATGTTCTACACTATTTTGGTAAGTTCATGCTTTGAAAATTTATCTCAATATGCGTCAATCGATCATTCGATAAAACGAAATGATTCTTCACACAATTGCTTTTTAACTAGTTTCGTTTTAGATAATTTTATATTGAAGTTATGATTTTTATTTATCTTGATTTAAAAAAAAAACAATATTCTACGTTATATTAATAAATTTCATTTTATATGTACATCTCTGGGATTCATATAAATATTGAACGCGTAGAATGTATATTTTTTGTAGAAAAATTCTGGAAGATCACATATTTAAAGTTAAAAAATATTCCTGTAGCGCCAGACAAAGACACATAAATTCTACGAGCTATAAAAGTTGTACATTTACAACTTCTCTGAATATTTTTCTGATTATCTTTCTCTTTTTTTAATAATAGTTTCATGAAGTTTCGTAAAGTTTTATNTTGTAAAAATAAAAATGATTGTCATGTTTTGAAATTTTAAGCTAAAAATAATAGGCTGAACGACTTTCAAATAAACTTGACATAATCTTGGATTCTAAATAGCATATTTTTATTCTTTTTTATTCTTGACGTTTAAAAATTTTCATCAAAATATATCGTATATATAAATATAGTGATTCATATACTGAAATGAAACATATATTATTGTGTACTATGTTTTTTTAGTTCGATAATTCTGATTTTAATGAAAGTTTATATATATGTGTACAATGAATTTATATATAAAATGAATTTATATATAAAATTTTTTTTTA